TTACATCCTGCATCAGGCATATCGTTATCAGTTTTGTCCCAACACTCGGGCGAGTGGGGTCTTTGGGTGTGGATATTCGGTATTTTTTAGTTCCATACAAATTTTGATGGTCAGATTTTGATCCGTATGATCTAGTTTTGTTGGACAATTAGGATGGTTGCTGTTGTGGTGTACCTCAGCGCGGTGTCGACGACACTGAGGGTTAACCGAGGATGTACAAGGATGGCCAGCCTATGGATGGTTGCTGTTGTGGTGTACCTCAGCGCGGTGACGACGACACTGAGGGTTAACAGAGGATGTGCAGTGAACAATGTTCTTTTTACTCCGCAGTCTTTTAACCGAGGGTTGTAATTTTGGCTGTACGTTTGGCAAACCTACTCATGTTCCTAATGAGTTTTGATAACATTTTTCACCCAAGCGTTTGGGGGCGGGCTGATGAGAGCCACAAGGACACATCACCTCTGGGGGCCGCCGAACTCTGAGATCCCCTGACAGCTCTGTTAATGCTCATTTGAGACATTATCCGTGGCGCACGACGAGGACGTGCTGTAGGGGTCTTGCGTGAGGTTCCGTACAACCAGGATAGTTAAGGACTGGCGCCCGAGTGACGTACGGAGTATCTCCTTATACACATCATGTTGGACTTAACTTCCCCTCACGCCTGTGACATAAATCACCGCGCCACCATATATGGTTATTGATTTGCAGACTGTTGGTTTACATGTCTCTCAAACAGATACTGCATCTTCAAAAGAAACCTCTGTCCTGTCTATAATGGCCAGGTCCTGTTTCTAGGATGACCCTGGAGAGTTGTAGCCAGGTCCATGAGGTCTGGTACACCATCTCATGTGATTCAGCACTTCTGCATCCTGGTCATACATCTTATCAGTTCACAACACTTTGTTTAGTTAACTCTTATCGGGTTAATACATAAAGTCTATATTAAAAAGATGAGTATAAAACAAGTCTAACTCACTGTGTGGGTTCTGTGGCCCCATTTTGGGTGAGAACTGAACTGACTACTTACACTCCCCCCTCTAAAACAAGCAGGCTGTACTAGAAAACTAATTAGGGGTGTTTCCTTCGAAGTCATAATGCATGTGCCTGATAGGCAAAGAACCAACAATCTGCTTACAAATAAGCCAGATCTGTAAAGCAGATCTGCATGCAAAACTCAGGTTCTGGAACAGGAATGAAGTCCAGAAATGGATGAACAACCAACAATTTTCACCAGAGTTTGCAGCCGGTGAACGTGAAGAAGAAGAAAAAGCAGAAATGATTGGCATTATATGAAACAGAACGTTGTAGATAGACATGGTGATAAGTCATTTACACCTTCTCCTCGACTTATGATCTATGCGACCTACGGTTATCCGCACTTACAACCACAAACAAATGTAATAAATAGATATGATAAATAAAGAAAGTTGCACCAACTTTGCACACACTTTTCGCATGCCCAATTCTTGCGTAAAAGTTGTGTAAACTTGCATTTTAGGCAAGTTTAGTTCCTCCAGGATTAATCGCACACTCTTTTGTTGGTCACTGTTCAAATTGTCCACATGGTCCCGTTTACCTTTGTTTTGGTGGTGGATGGTCGAGCCACTCATCTCTCGTCCACAGTTTCATCTCCCTTCCAAGGTCTTATGCCAGTTAAACACAACTGATCGACTCAAACACTCATTGCAGTGTGATGTCTTCAAGATTTCCAACATCTCTGTCCCAGATTTTCCAAGTTTCACAAAATATTTAATTGTGTAATATTGTTATTTGGAATGTTCCATTTTTTTTCATGACATGTCACTCATACAGGGATTCACTACTTCCATGATCCGCACACTCCAACTGCTTGTTGACAGCTGGGACATGTAGCTAACACACCTCCATCCACAGATTTCCCCACCCACATTGAGTGCACGAAACTACAGTCCATTTACTTTGAGGATGGATAAACCCTTGTAATTACACATACATAGGTTGAATTTTTTATATTTTATTTACAATATTTATAACCTATTTGAATAAAAATAGTGTTGAAAAGTATACATTCGACAGTGAGCAGTTCGACTTATTGCCTCTTTGTCAGAACAGAATTTTGTTCATAAGTTCAGGTCATTAAACTGAAAAAAAAAAAAAAATAGACAGAAGGCGTAGAAGATATAAACAGCAAAACCACACAGCCTGGGCTATCAAATTGTAATAAAATGAGACGAGTGGTCTCAGTGGCAAAATGGTCATTTGCCTCACCTCGTCCTCTGAAGGTCATGGGTTTGTTTCATGACTGTGTCATTCAGTCTACAAGTGAAATTTTTATGATCCCTGGGGTTCATCACTGGAGCTGCAGAGTTTAGGCTTTGTGTGACGTACTGGCAGCTGCCCAGCAATACTGTGGAGAGAGGCAGAGCCATATGGGATAAAATATGGTGTATGAAATTGATCCTCTTGACTTTTGAACTCAAACATTAAATGAGACAGGAGGCTGGGAACTTCTGTGTTGACCAGCGCCTTACAACATGGACTACCACCACACAAAAAAATGCTTATATGGACATTGATAGTAAAGCATGACCTCAAAACTTATCAGTAGTTTGTTACCTTTGTTAACCTTCCCAAATGTACAATTTGGCAAATGAATTGATAAATGTATACTTATCCACAACTAAATACAATATATCTCCACAAATCTTTCAGGTATAAACTGCTGGACTTAACACTGCTTTCCAGCTCTCTCCCGCCTGAAGAAGCATGTAAAACTCTTTTACAGAAGATTGGTATCTTGGACAAGGGGCCTGCAGTCACTAAAAATTATGTAAGTTATTGTTTTCTTTTAGAGTAATTATTCAGGTGTGCAAGGTAATGAGCAGGCAGATAGATCAGCTGCTGCTGCTCCTCTTGACAGGAGTTACTTGATGATAAAGCAGATATGGTGAAGGCTTTCTGGGATCAGTTAGTGCAGTTTCCAGAGAAAGTATCCGTACTTGGAGAGAGGGATTCAGCAAAGAAGGTCTGGATGATTTTCTACTCGCAGGGGGAGTTGAGTTGAGTCAAGAATTGACATCACAGCACTCAAGGTATTTCCCTGCATGCTCTGTCCTCATCTTCAGCAGCCAGTGTAGCAGAGTTCCAATAAAGATGGTACCGGTAGCATTCTCGTATCTCATGAATACTTGCCACATGGTATTTCATGAAAACTTGCTACATTATCTCATAAATACTTGCTACATCCACACAAAAAAAGTTAGTTGCGTATCCTTTACAGGACGTTGCAGAACCAACCCTAACAGCCCCTGGATGTTGTGTGGTTTCTCTAGGCAATTTACATCCAGTAGTTTGCCATTGCTTTCTGGACGTTCGCTTTCTTGATACCACTGTCGAAACCATTGCAAGGCGCATGACCCGCAGCTGGGATCGAACCTGGCATCCTGGCATTACGAAGCGAAGCGTTTGCATCGACTTAGCCACAGAGCCGACCACTTGCTACATGGTATCTCATAAATACTTGCTACATGGTATCTCATGAATACTTGCTACATGGTATCTCATGAATACTTGCTACATGGTATCTCATGAATACTTGCTACAAGGTATCTCATGAATACTTGCTACATGTTATCTCATGAATACTTGCTACATGTTATCTCATGAATACTTGCAACATGGTATCTTGTGAATACTTGCTACATGGTATCTCATGAATACTTGCTACATGTTATCTTATGAATACTTGCTACTTGGTATCTCAAGAATACTTGCTACATGGTATATCATGAATACTTGCTACATGATATCTCATGAATGCTTGTTACATGTTATCTCATGAATACTTTCTACATGGTATCTCTTGAATACTTGCTACATGGTATCTCATGAATACTTGCTACATGGTATCTCATGAATACTTGCTATATATTATCTCATGAATACTTGCTACATGGTATCTCATGAATACTTGCTACATGGTATCTCATGAATACTTGCTACATGGTATCTCATGAATACTTGCTATATATTATCTCATGAATACTTGCTACATGGTATCTCATGAATACTGGCTACATGATATCTCATGAATACTTGCTACATGGTATCTCATGAATACTTGCTACATGGTATCTCATGAATACTTGTTACATGGTATCTCATGAATACTTGCTACATATTATCTCATGAATACTTGCTACTTGTTATCTCATGAATACTTGCTACATGGTATCCCATAGCTACTTACTACATGGTTTATCATGAATACTCACTACATGATATCAAATGAATATTTGCTGCATGGTATCTAAATGATTACTTACTACATGATATCACATACATATTTGCTACATGGTATCTAAATGATTACTTACTACATCAAATCACATGAATATTTGCTACATGTTATCACATGGTTATTTGCTACATGGTGTCATGAATACTTGTTATCTGGTATCACATAAACATATCTGCTTCAAGATAATAACACTGTAAAACTATTTTTGTCTTTGTTTTTTTCTGCCCTCACCATGAAGAAGGGTGGTTAGCACGTTGTATTGTGGTCTACAGCTAGGCTGTGATGTCTGTGCCTTTTGACCGATTGTATTGTGGTCTACAGCTAGGCTGTGATGTCTGTGCCTTTTGACCGATTGTATTTTGGTCTACAGCTAGGCTGTGATGTCTGTCTGTGCCTTTTGACTGAATACATCTGTTTCACAAACCCTCAATTCATTGCTTTTTATGATGTGTCTGTTGAGGGGCAGTGTGTCTATTCTTGGTCACCAAAATAAGGCCCTGGACCCAAAAAAAGACAGTATTAGTCCCTAAATCCAGTCCACCCCCCCCCCCCCCCCCCCCCGAAAAACAGGTGCTGGTACTCATTACAAAGTGCCCTGAAAAGGTGCCGGTAGTGACCACAAAGTGTGTGTTACACTAGCAGTGACAAAAATTATGCTTTAACCAGAAAAGGTACCAGAACTGAGTATCATGGCACACCACATGGGAAAAACAAGTCCTGCCTAAGTTCCATTGTTAACCGAGGCTGGTGTAGTTTTCTGTTTGAACCATTTCACACATACCGTGTTCATATATGAGATCAGAGTCTGTCGGTATCGCGTGTTGCATGCCAGATAAACAAACATGCTTGCCGAAGCGTTGATAATTTCTAGAGTATTCTTTACCGTGCCGCAAATGAAGTGAAGATTGCTGAATTGTTTGTTGACACTAAATCTCGGCTCAATCAATTTTGCGTAACCCATTAAAACTTTTGGGGTGTTACATACGAGAAAAATTATTGACAAAAGAATGGTGGATTTAATAGCTTGAATCTCCTTTGTGTTAAATGTTTTTGTCAGGTTAATTTTATCTGCATCCACTTTTTCTTTACCCTTTTGATAACTTTTATGAAATTTTGCATCCTGTATTTTCTTGCGATTTTCTAGTTTTTTCATCTTTAATCGGTGTAAAGATGCTGAGTGACGAAATCTTGATGAAGAAGTCAGATTCGACACGAGGATAAAAAGGCAGGTGAGGACAGTGATATGACACACTGTCGTCAGTAAAATGGAGTTGATGATGTCATAGGCAATGGCATAGTCTCGCCACGCATCAGATCTCAGTAAAACAAGTAATAAGTGATCCGAGACATTTGAGACTTGGGTCACCTCCTGTAGCTGCATCTTGGGGATGTATGTCACTATGCTGAATGACACAATCGCCGCTGTTATGATGGACGTTTCGTGCAGGTAAAAGTGTTCTTAAACTGGAAGGGCATGGCCACGCAGCAACATCTTTGAAGTGCGATGAATGTTGTAATCATTTTTGACACATCGTAAAACATTAGATAGTAATAGATCACCACTACTAAATTCATAGAGCTTCCCGCTGGCCAGTTCATGAAAAGGTATGGCAAAATGTAAGCCAAATAAATTCCTGGAAATATGATTACCAGGCAGATTAGATCTGAGCAGGTCAGGAAAAAGAAACTTAATGTGATGCTGTCTTTTAATCCGAGCCGGATAAATGTGATTATGTTGATTAGATTTGTAATCCATCCACAAAGGATCACTGGTGATTGAAGGATACTCAGTGTAAAGAGTACTATCTCTCTGGTCTCGTTTGAAACAAGATCTTCCTTGTAAAATAAATTGTTGCTCATTGTTTTTGTATGTTCTGTAGATTTAAAAAAAAAAATGGTGGGCCTCTGTTTCACAGAGCTGGTGATGCCTTATGCAGTATTTCTTATGCACTGCAAATTTATTGTAATCAGTGCTTCTTTGAAGTTGACATCAAGTTTCATGCAGTTGACAAACTGCAATTCTAGTGATAGACTATTTGTGCTGGCTCTTCTGGCAGCTATCTTACGCTTTTAATTCATGTGTAGGCTATTGTCTTTGCTGGGACTGCAGCCTTTTTCCATTTATTTTTAGGGGCAGTGTGGTTTTTTGCTAGCTCAGGAATGGAGCGATTAAAATGTGATTTGCCAGCTGTCAGGCTTTATTCCTAATTGTTCTTGTCAAAAGGAAAATTAAGGGCCCTTGTCCAAGCCTTCAGGTGTATTGGGCTTATGAGGCTAGGCCTATATTTGTTCTTGTAGATTCCTTGATATTCGAAACTCTTGGCTTTTTTTGGCTTCTGTTTCTACTTGTATAAGCTGTTTGATGCTCAGCCCTTGAGGCAAGTTCTCATGATCAGCTCTGTTGTATCGTTATAGGTAATCTTAGTTATTGTGTCAGCGTCTCTGGTTTAGGGGATTGTGAATGCAGTTTGATAGTCTTGATATACCAGAGTTTGAAGTCAGCTGCAGGAAATTTGGTAACAGGCTGGTTTGCATTGATTTTGCCAAAAGTATGAGTGTTGTACTGCTCAGAAAGCAGCTGAATTTTAAATTACTGGTAAAACAAAACTTCTTCTTCTTCTTGTCTTCCTGTAGTTACCTCAGTAAAGTGTTGAGGGGAGATGTAAGAATTGTCTGTATTGTTTTCTAATGCGTTGCCTAGGTTGATCTGAAAACCCACCTGATCGTCAAACATATTTCTTCTTCTTCCGTGTTCAGTCGAAGATGTAATTGCATTGTTCCCGTTTACAGCCTGATTGTGACATTTGTGACTTCTAGCTGACAGATTTGACTTCTACAGGCATACTTTGACCGAATTAGCCTTTAGCGGTTTAAAACGTTTTTAAAGAAGGGAGCTGTCACCTCTTTCTCTTCTTCTTCTTCTTCGTTTCTCCCAATTACATCATCAAAGTGTTGTCTAGGAGATGAAAGAATATTCTGTAGTGTGTTCTGATATTGGGTTAGAAAGTCCACTTGATCACAAAAATGATCTTATAGAAGGAAATTACTACTTCTTCCTCTTCCTCCTCTTATTCTCTTCCTTTTCCCTCTCTTCTTCTCTTTCTCTTCTCTTCTTCTCTTTCTCTTCTTCTCTTCCTCACGTTACATCAGTAAAGTGTTATAAAACAATACAATTGCCGATAAATGCTAATGTTGGTTTGTGATGTCTTGAAGAGGACTTGCAACTGACTTTAGCAAAACTCTTTTGGTACAAGGCTGTTGAGACTTCATCAGATTCTGTCACAGAGTCATTCAGCTTAAATCAGTCTGTGAACCTTTGAAATCCTAACAAATTCAGACACAATATAGAAAGAGCTAACCACTTGAATGAATGAATGATTGAATCAATCAAGAATTGATATCACTGCACTCAGGACTTTCCTACATGTGCTCCGTCTACTTCTTCAGTAGCCAAACAAGAGCCCAAAGCTAACAGTGCCAGTTGCAACCTGATTGATTAAGAGTGTGTTACCTCTAAAGACACAGTGGATGTGAGCACCGGGGAAGTCAGATTCATTTAGTAGGCTGTGATCAAAAATACAAGTAAAATTTAAAAGAACTTGTTATGTGATAGCAAAATTTCAAGAGAAGAACCAGTTAGGCAATTTCTTTCGAACATTTGGAATTAAATACAAAACAGAAACTGAAATACATCAGTGACTATTTGCTTTTAAACTTTTCCTTACAGCATGGCTGACTTTTGTTATTATATATTTCAGTGAAGACATGGAGTGTGATAAATACTTAAACGTTAGTTGTAACTTTACATCTGTTATTAAATTATAAATCTTATCATTGCTATGATTTCTGTATTTAGTTTCACTGGAGGTTATACTTGTAAAAAAATAGACAGTTTTGAATAGTTCATAATGGTAGTTTAGCGTCTAAAATATAAAGACTTGAAAAATGAAATAAACTTAGCTCTTACATATAATTTTATTTCAAGTGTTACTCACAACTTTGTGTTAAGTATAACTACCCCTTTGCTAGACGTCTGTTCTAAACAAAGATGTAATTTCAAAGCACAAATTTAAAGAAGTTTTTCAAACACATAAAAGCACTAATAAATAAGATGTAAAATCTTGAAGGTAAAGTTAGAAGGTACCTATTAGGGCAAGCAGTGTTATTTGAATGTGTACCTTGCATTTAGTTATACCCTTTAATTTTAACCATTAAATGTTAAGAAAATTCCCCCCCCCCCCCCCCCCCCCCCCCCCCCCCCCGTTTTGTCCTTATAGTGTGGTTACACCTTCAAATTTTAGAAAATTTCTGGTTACTTTGTTAACTCTTAGATGTTAGAAGTGTTCCATTCTTTGTCTAATGTTAGACTTTAGAAGTTCTCTACTTTGTTCAAAACTTGTACATTAAAGGCAGTATGGGAGATTAAATGAGTTGTAAGGTTTATTGAAATCTGGAACTTCCCAGCAGCGGTATGTAGTTATTGACATTTTTATTGATTGTTTCACATCAAAGCGATGTGCAGGTTTTGAAAGTACCCACAGGTAGCAAATAATGAGTGGGTAAAATAGTTTGAAATAATAACAGCTTTTAGTGAAGTTGCTGAGTCTTTGAAAGAGTATATTAAAATATCTGACAGAAATGATTATATGGTATTTAAAATAGCAAAAGTATACTCTTTTGAATACTTTTTGAATATTGCATATCTCAATTATAACCCTGAGTGTTGAAAAGAAGTTACTGAAAATTGTGAAAATTGCTACTACTACTATTACTGGAAACATGTGGGCGATGGTAGTTGTTGGACATGTTTTTTGCTTTTTGGAAAGAAAAAAAATATTGATTTTCTTTGATGATTGAATAGAAAACCCAGACCAATAATTTACTTTTTCTGTTTCAAGTTTACCTAGTTGGGTTGTAGTCTTAACAGTTGGGAAAATATGACTAACCTCCACTGTTATAGGCTACTATTTGTTTATCCATTGATATTCTCCTCTCATTTGTATCCCTGTCTGCATCAACTGGTGGAGACCTGTTGTCAAGTTTTCCTTCAATTATGGGTTTTGAAATCATGTCATACTGTTTACTTTGTCTTAAATATTTCACTCATTTTCCTTAAACCCCTTTCATTTTCAGTTTCTATAGAAACATTTGATTTGCGTGTGTCTATGAAATATGTCATATTCTTCTGTAGGGTAGGTCGGGGCAAAGACCCGCGTGGGGCAAAAACACGCAGTCCATTTACATGTTCCGGTTATTGTTTTTTGTGGCCGGCTTTAGCTTGGCCGACACTGGCTAGACGGTATCACGTGGGTTGCCAAAATTCAATCAAGTCCTGCTGTCACCAGCCAAGAAAATGAGGTCAGTTGCTTTTTTCAACTTTCAATGTAATACTGTGACTCTAGTCAGTGCACGTTCACACAAAAAGTTTGCAATAAAGCTGTTACTTATCTTATTCATCGAAAAGTAACACATATTAACAGTAGAAATAGAGGTGACATGTTGAGGTTAGTTAGTTTATGTTGGTTAAAAGTTACGAATGTTAAATTATGATAAAATGGGGCAAAAGCCCGCAGCCTGGCGGGGCAAAGACCCGCGTGCGTGTCTTTACCCCATGAATGCGTGTCTTTACCCCATGAATGCGTTTCTTTACCCCATGTATGCGCGTCATTGCCCACGAATGTGAGTTTTCCCCTTATCATCCTCAGTTGTTTACAATATGATTCTGTTATTTATTTCCAGGAATTACAAAAGGAAGACGAGCCAGAAACCACTCAATGAATCCTTACTGAAGGAAGCCAAGGCTCTAATAGAGACAGGTGTTTTCTATTAGACAAGCGGCCAAAGTGATCGGCTTCCATGAGTCAACGCTACGGAACAGATTGAAGACTGGTGTTGGAGCAGAAAAGCTGGGGCGATTCCAGACTGTTTTTTCCAGTGAACATGAAAAACAGTTAGTAGAACATTGTAAAGCCTTGGATCAGCGATTTTTTGGATAACTCTCAAGTCTCTCCGGTTTTTGTTGTATTCTTATGCAGAGAAAAATAACATACCTCATCCATTTTCCACTGCAACAAAGTTGGCTGGAAAGGATTTCACACATTCCTTTATGAAAAGAAACAGACTATCATTGCGGACACCACGAAAGACGAGCATTGCAAGGACGATGGGCTTTAATCGACTCCAACTGGACCAGTACTTTGACAACCTTACGAGTGTTCTTCGCCGGGTACAAGTTTACACCCGACCGTATCTATAATATGGATGAAACAGGGATTCAGACTGTTCCAGGCAAGATACCCAAGCACGTAGCGCCAACTGGAAAAAAAGAGGTTGCTAAATCTGTCGCTGCTGAGCAAGGTAAAACAGTGACTGTAGTCTGTGCCATGAGTGCCACAGGACACTATGTGCCTCCTTACTTCATTTTTGCAAGAAAGAGACTAAACTTGCTTCTTATAAAGGATGGACCAACTGGGTGTGACATGAGTGTCACTGACAAAGGCTATATGAACATTCCTACATTCCTAAAGTGGCTACAACACTTTAAGAAGTTGGCGAATCCCTCTCAAGATATGCCACTTCTGTTGATCCTTGACAATCATACCTCGCATACCAGCTTGGAGGCTATAAGCTACGCCAAATCAAACCACATCCATATGCTTAGCTTACCACCACACAGTAGTCATAAGACGCAACCCCTCGACCGTAATTTTTTTCAGACCATTGAAAAGCATATTATGACAATGCTGCGGATAACTGGACAACTTCGCATCCAGGCCAAGTCCTGAGCGAATATCACGTTGCTGAACTGTTCGCAAAGGCTTTCCAGAAAGCTGCAACGGTAGAAAATGCTGTTCAAGGAT